TTTATATCCTTTAGAGCACTTTCCTTTTATTATTTCAATATCTATTATACACTTTGGATCTTATTACTCTTTCAGTGACAATACAATATTTCACTTATGAGGATAGTCTCAAGTTCCTTAAAAGCCTCAAGATCATCCTCTTTTATAGCTGAATAATATTCCATTATATAAAAATACCACACCTTTTTCATCCATTCTGCTATTGTTGGGCATTTTGGTTGTTTCTAAGATTTAGCTCTTACAAATTGTGCTGCTATAAACATGAGTGCACATATATTGCTGTGACATGACCTTTTCAGTTTTTCTGGGAAAATAACCAAGAGGTGAATAGCTGGGTTGAATGGAACTTCCAATATAGTTTTTTGTGTTTTGGTTTTTTGGGGGGTTGATGGTGGTAGTGGGGTTGTTTTGGGTACCAGAGATTGAACTCATGACCTTGCGCTTGCCAGGCAGGCATTTACATCACTGAGCTAAATCCCTGGCCGCCTCAATCCTAGGTTTTGAGGAGTGTCCATACTGATTTCCACAGTGGCCACCCTAGTCTTACACTCCCACCAACAGTGGAGCAGTGTGCCTTTTTCTCTGCAGCCTCACCAACATTTGTTATCAGTTGATTTCTTAATGGCAGCCATTATTTCTGAAGTGAGATGGAATCTCAATGATGCTTTTTTGCTTAGTTATATGGTCTTGGAAATGGCCTGTCTCTGTATCCCATGGACTCCACATTTTTAAAAAGTGGCTCATGTTTTAACAGGTTGAATAAACATACTGTTCGGACTTCCTGGAGACATGTAGTAGATTACCCAGAACAGAGAGATTCCTTTTTTTTCCCATTGGAGTATTAGAAATAAAACTGACTGGAGATATAGTTCCATGATAGAAACTTGGTTATCATCTGTTAGGTCCTGGGTTCAAACCTCAGCACTGCACAGAAGCAAGGAAAGAAAGAAAGAAAAAAAAAAAGAATAAAACTTGGAGGTTTCTGAATCTATTTGGCATTTTGAATATTTTTAGGAATGTCATTTTCTTGTAATTCTCTCTGCATTACCTATATGTGTGATTGGGGTTTTTTTTCTCCTAAAGTTTTAGATTATAAACAGATTCTTCCATAGATTAAAAATGATTCCAAAGAATTGCTTTAAATGCAGGCTTATCCTTTTTAATCATTTTGACTGTTTAGGATAGCATTTATGAAATCATTTAATTCTCCCATCCTTAGCTTTGCTTTTTTTAGATGTTACCTAATTTTTCTAGTTCAGGATAAAATATAACTTGTTGGGTTCACAGAGTGATTGATACCTTCCCCTGGGATCTCTGAGTTTTCTGGAAGGGTAAGACAAACCTGCCAGTTCTATTTCCTCTATTCAGCTTTCTATTCCCTACAAGCATCTGTCTCCAGACCCATGCATTTATGACTTGCCTGTGTGCATCACATCCTGATGCTTACATATTACCATGCTGATTGGGGAAATGCAAACTCAGATTGCCACAGAGAGGATTCCACCGTCCCGAGGGAAGAAGCTTGAGGTATTTGTTTTACTTCTGGTGGGCTGGTAGTAAGACCTGGACACATACCCTGGCTTATAGCCATCTGTGAACACAGCTATAAACTAAAGGTTCCTTTGCACTGGGCATTTCAGAATATTGACATTGGTAAGGGATCCTTTTAGATTCACTGGGGAACTCAATATTTAAAAAAAAAAGATTCTTGCCGTCAAGGAACAAGCATCAAGAGAGAGAAGGAGCAATGCCCAGCCACAGATACAAAAGCCTGAAAAATTTGAGGAACAAGACTCTAAAAAGAGTTGAAGCCATCACAGAAAATAAGTCTGTATAAATTGCAGACACTCCAGAAAAGCAAGAAGGCTTCCAAATACTCTGACACCAGTTTCCCTCTAGCTGGGGTCAGAACCTGATCTATAGGCAAATCCATCTACTTATTCTTCATTTGTTCCTGTGACGGTTACTTAGTAAGCATGTGCCCTTTTGCCAGGTCTGAATGGGCTTCGAGGGCACTTAGAAAACAACATGACCACTGCCTTTAAGATCCTTACCATTTGTACACAGTCAGGAGGCCAATTACACCAGTGTCCAGCACAGATACAGTTATCAGAGATGCAAAGGGAGGCCCATTTGCACCCCGCCATCCCGCCAGTTGCCTGCCTGAAAATTGATTGCGATCTTGCTGCATGGAGCTCAGCAGGAGCCCTTCATTTAAGTCTAATGCAATATACTGTCCTCTGTCCAATTGCATGACTTGGCTCGTGGTCCTTTTTGTATTCCTCTGCTTCTGGAAGGTAATTGTTATGCAGACGCTTCTAATATGATTTTTAAATTTGTGTTCTCCTGTTTGACATTTATTAGAAATAACTTATGAATTATATTGGGTAATAGATACTCTTACCTAAAAGTTAGCCTCTATTTATGTTTCTTTTTGCCTCGTTAGCTAATTGATTTATCTTCAAGTGGACTTGGGGGAATAGCTAGGTTTTTAATCCCATCAAGTGTAAACAGGAGGATATTATTTATGTATTCCCTGGATGGTTTTATGCAAGTGATGCCACTCTAATGCATCGAGCTTGAGCTTCATCTGATCTTTGTTTACTGCATTGATTATGGTTTTTATTTGATCTTTCCTTTAGTTTTCCTCATGCAACTTGCATTCTGCATTATTTGTTTTTTGTCCTGGCTTTTTAAAAAATTTATAGGGAATCTAAATTATAGAATCTATCTCTCAGCACTGCTCTTTCTCAGTTGACAGTTCATTAAAAAGTTTTTGTTCAGTCTTCATATTATTTCAGCATGACATGTTTTTTAAAAAGTCATTTTGAGAAATCTCTTTATTTAACTAGCTGAAATTGCTCCAGAGTTTAATTAGAAGTAGCATATTGCAACTGTTTGGGTGCTATCTTGAGGCAAAATAATTACTCTGTAATAATAATGCATATTCTAGTAAAGTTGTCATTATTGTCATAGAAGGTTGGAAACCATCTTCCTAAAACTCATAAGGATCCTAGGGTACTCTTGGAAATAGCGAAATTCTAAAGCTTAAGGAAAAAAATTAAAGAAAAATTGTTCTGGTCATAAGCTCAGTGCTCTTGAGTGTCATGGGAGCCCACCCTTGTAATAACAGAAAGTTGCTGTGTTCTGCTGGCTTTTGGAGCAGGCAGTGTGATTCCTGAAAATAGTGCAGTGCATATCCCATTGGCTATCTGCACAGTTGCCAAAGAGGTAAAGTGGACCATAGTGTTTACCTCATGTTCTTTATTTCACAGGGTTGAACATGTCCTGGTAGACCCCAGCCCAAGACCATAGGACTGACCAGATAGATAGACAGATAGATAAATAGATCATGTCCTGAATTCTGTCCTGGGTCTTATATTTGTTTGTCAGAATGCCCAATTGTCATTTGTTCATCTTTACCAAAAATAAACAAAGTCAATTACAAAATGCAACTGGAGCTAGTTTTCAAATTTGATTGGGTGACCTGTATTTGCAATATTTACCAGTCCCATGGCTGATGAATATTGCTGCCCAATCTTGGCTCCTGTTTAATGGACAAAACCGTGATCTCCATGGCCCTCCATTAAGAGTTACTTAAAAACACTAATTCCTCCATTTTAGATGTATTTTAATGCCTGCAGAAAAGCTCGGCAACTTCTGTAACTGAGATAGAAAATTGTAGCTTGGGCCATGTGGCCCACCGGTATGGGTTCCTGCCTCCCACTGATGGGCTTCCTGACGAAAGTCTGCAGAGATCTTTTCGTAGAGCTCTGTGCTGGAGCAGTGAGAGAAACTGCTGTGACAGTAGGTGTTGGCAGAAGATGCCTGGAGTCAGTACTGATAGAGTCCTCTTTACAACCCCAGGTGGTAAATCCCTTCTTTTCTCCTCCCGGGGTCACTACCCTTTAGCAGCTGTGGGATAGCAGACACAGCCAACTTCTCTAGGCATGCTTAGCTAAAGAGATTATGTTGTCAGATAGCAGAAGTTACCACTAAGTAACCTAGATTCTCCTTATACTCCAGGCTGCTTCCTGCTGTCTAAGTAGGGAAGTGTAATTAAGTTTATTATCTGTGACCTGATGCTAATTCTTCTAGCATAGGCGATTTACAGTGAAGTGGCTGGACTGAGCTTTATTATTGTTAACACTTTCAAGGGCTATAAAACAAATTTACTGAGTGAACAAGCTTGACAGTACTCTGGAGTCGTTTTGTGACAGCCCAAATTGCGTATTTCATCATAGAAAAGTACTTCGAGGTGTTGAAGAATACTGTTAAAATTGTATAATATCAATGAATCAAATAATTAAAACCCTTGCTGAAATTGTTGTCAGATCACTTTCCCATTGACTTTTAGCTTTTTAATTTTCCTTTAACAAGTAGAGTGTGATTAAAATTAACATGTGGAGTATGGGTCAGATAATACTAGAGTAAGCTATAGCTCCCAACATAATGATACTGAACCAAAACATCCCCAGCCTGCGAGCTTGTCTTAAGACTGCTTTGAGGCTCAGGGGTTTAGCTCAGTGGCACAAGTGCCTGCCTGGCAAGCACAAGGTCATGAGTTCAATCCCTGGTATTAAAAAAAAAAGCTTTCAAATTCATAACTTAAACAGGCCAGTGAAACAAAGAAACAAAGATAATTTAACACAATAACATGACATTTCAACTTTAGGGCAGGGTTTTATTTGTATATTTTATTTTTTCAATTAGATTTCTTTTTTCCTTTTTTAGTGATACTTTTCAAATGTTGCTTTCAGAAGCTATTATTTTGATGTTTTCTTCATTTTGCTTATGCTGATTTCCATGATAATTTGGAAAGTATGTATATCTAATTCTATGAGTTTCTCATGAGCAAAACCCCCCAAATTCACACAGAACAGGGAGACTTGGCTTGATCCAAAAATCGCAGAGTCTAGGGTGTAGCTAATTGAAATGCCAAGCCCACCAAGATGCCAGAGCCTAATGTGTAATTATGTTATTTTCTCTTGATCTTTCAGAGTCTTCCTGAGAGCAATTAATCAGTATGCAGATATGCTGAACAAGAAATTTTTGGATCAAGCCAATTTTGAGCTACAGGTAAGAGAAGAGGCAGGCACATCCTTTGTGGAGGAATCATGGTAAAACAAATGGCCAGTGAGCACCAGTAGTTTATTTCTAATCTTCGAACTTAATTGGTCTCCCATCCGAGATGTGGAAATGGAATTTACAATATATATTATTGGAAGCCAGGAGTGAAAATTATGCCTTGAGGGCGTTTGCTCAATTTAACAAGTTAGGAGATGGAGTTATTTCAGAGAGAAACCACTGAATCAGAGTGACAAGGAGGGACTCTCCAGCTAGGCAGGCTACTGACCCAGTGTATAAGGCTGCCAAGTTTGTCTTACTCCTAAGCATGGAGAGTAAGGGGTCAGTGGAGAAGCTGGCTTGCTTCACTGAGCTCAGCTTGCTTCTAGAATTTTTTCCCCCTGATTATTCTACCGACTTTCTGCTACTGGTTATGTTCCCAAACTTAAAATCTTTACCAGGTGGTTAGTCAGTTTCAAAAGCGCCTGTTAGATGCATGCAAAATACATGTGTGCATGCATGCATGCATGCGTGGGTGCATGCATATGTATTGTGTCTCCACAAGGATTGATTTTTGTTGGGCATGATATTTATGCATTGTGCATCTGAGATTTATGGCTCTCGGTTTGTTACACTCTGCAGACATACCTGCTAATAATGATTTTATTTGTCATTATTAGTACTTAGACTATTTTACTGAAGTTTGCAACTAAAAGGAAGTCGTCTAAATCCTAACAGTATGTTTTATTTCCTGGGTAGGATCGTTCTCTGAGGAGGAACTTAAAAAAAATAGTCAATGGATGATCCAAAAATGTGTTACCACATAACAAAAATTAGATGCCCATATACTGTCCCATTTGAATTGCCTTCAAAAAATTTGAAGCTAATACTTGGTATAAAAAGTATCTGTGGTCTTTTTTTTGTTTTGTAAATTTAAAATTATCAGCTTCTCATTTATGAGCATTATAGAATTAGATAACAATATAGCAAACACAACATTTAGACATGTTACTTTTTATAATTTTATCATTTTATATGCTTAATGTCCACTTTCATATGTCATAAAGAGATACATTCTCACTGTAAAATATTTATGCAAGGTAGGTCAGTATACCAAGTTAACATGAAACACTACTTCTAACCCTTTTGCAACTCTCATTCCCTCTCTGCAGGGGTAACTTAAAACTATTTATTGTATGCATTTACTAAAATTTTAATCATTTATATGGGCCTTGGAAATGTTTTGTATTTGCTTTTAAAATTGGTTCCTACCCTGTATTTATAGTCCTGTCATTTCCAGAATCCAAAGGTAACAACGTACACTGAGCCATTTCTGCACTGATGACCTGCAAGCTTTTGTGGTTTTTCATTATCCTAAGCCTTACTACCATGTTCTGGTGAGACATGTGCACCTTAGTAAATGAACTGCTGTAGAATAGTTTGATTGCCAGGCAAAACGGTGTGAGAATTTAAACTTGACAGATACTAACAAATTGCCCTCCTAAACTGCATTCACAATTTGCAACTTTTCAACCTTCCTTGAGAGCAGCCAGTTAGCTCCCAGCTAGGTAGAGGATACTTACCAGCAGTGGACATTTCTGCTACAAACTGCCTGGTCATTTTGTCTACTTATTTTTCTTTTGGACTGTTTGTCTTTTTTAAAATTTTTGTTATATATTTGGAATCCTAAAATAATCTCTGTTTACATTAATTAAATGTGTATGAGCTATATGAAAATACTTGATTTTTCTATAGATAAGTTAGTCATTTTGTGGTTATTTTATTTTATGTTTTATTTGTAAATTCTCTTCTTGCATCAATATTACATTTAAATATTTTTTATAGTTAATACCTTTCGAGTCCTGTTTTTTTCCTTTTAACTTTCAGATTTTAAATCTTTGTAGAATTTCTACAGCTAGTGTTAGGATAAGGTCTAACTTTGCTTTTTCCCACAAATTTTGTTCATCGGTGTTTCTTGCCCAGTAAGTGCTTTGATTAGCATAATTGCAAGAATACACGCACGTCCTTTCCATTTTCTGTGTTATTACCTTAGTGGCTTCATGCTACAGCTTAAGCCAGCTAATACAGCCAGTATTTCTCTGTTAGTTTTGTGCTACAGAATTATCTTGGCCAGTTCTGTGCATTTTTGTCTTTCAAGTGAAGTTTTAAAAACAGTAATTGAGTTTCTTTTTTAAAAACACATAGCACTTATATTTTCATAAGAATTCTACTAACATAAATAAATCTTAGGTGAATCTTATACTACTGAGAGAATACTACCTTGTTTCTTGTTGTTTGGCAATGGTCACACCGTAAGTGCTTCTGGCTCTGTAATAATCCTCTTCCTATAAATGAAAAGAAGGAGTAAGGAGTTAGTGACATTGTTGTTTAAAAAGAAATATTCCTGCATTGTTGCTGGTATTGTTTTCAAAGGCATCATGTATAAATTAAAATGTGTTCATGCTATTTGTGGCACAGCGATTCTCAAAATGCAACCAACACTGGCTAGTGATTGCCAGTGCATTGGCGATGAGAACACAGGTGAAAAGTGTGAGTTCCAAAACCAAGAGCGAAAGAACAACTTGAATTTTCTGGACTGGAGTCACTCAATTTACAAATGAGACCAAAAGACAGAGTACCCTTCCAGACAGTGATGGAGTGTGATCTGTGAGGTTCAGGGAATCTGGCCAACTTCACCCGCTATCTGTAGTTTTGGGCAGTTCCCAGTCTCCTCTCAGTCTCAGTCTCAGTCTCAGGGAGGTTACTGCACCTCCCTACTAGTTCTGTAGGGCTCAAAGACACTGTTGTGTTGCCCTAGAAAGTCCAGTACCTAATCCAGTTTGGATAAATGGAGTCCAGCACACCCTTATAACATATGAAAACTCAGAGGTAATTAAATATAGAACCAATAATGTTATTACCGTACTGCAATATAACTTTGCAGCTATCTCATTTGATTATCATCTTTGGTTAATAAAAGAGAAAGTTGACACAAATTTCTTTTAAATGACATTTTGCTTTTTAAACCACATATAATCCATGAGCTCTCAAGATAAGAAGTGTTTGATGTTTGTATGTTTTCCTGTATTGTTTAGCATGTGGATAACTTTGGTATAATAAAGAAATCATAGGACAGTGGTGTCATGCATGCTAAGGTGAGCTGTTTGTATCATTGAAAGCTCTAAAAGGTTTTCCATCATTTTTATAAGGACTGGAATGGGAAAGTACTTGCCTAGCATGCCCAAGGTTGTGGGTTTGATCCCCAGAACCACCACCACCACCAAAAAAAAAAAAAAAAAAAAAAAAAAAAAAAAAAAAAATCAAGTCCATATAAATAATCAAAATCTATATTTTTCCTCAGTAAAAGTCTGAAAGATATGACAGTAAGAGATGATATTCACTGAGTGTCACATGCTCTGTGCCACTGTACTTATATATTCCGCCTGTGAATGCCTATATATATGTATATGTATTTCTTTGATCCTTCCAGCAAGCCTCTAAGGTAGGTGATACTGAAGTTTCAGTTTTCTCATTAAGGAAACTGAGACACTGAGACGTCTTAGTTTCCCTTGTGGACTACATTGCCAAGATTTGAGTAGACACACCATGACCCTGAGGTCCCATTCTTAACCCTAAGCCACACTGTAGGATTTCACTAGTAGTTCTTTGAGTTTTCTTTTCATAAACACTTTAGAAGTATGTGTTGAACAGATGATAAATATCCCAGAGCCTTTTTGAGATCATGTATTAAGTTTTCAACAACTGTGCATCGCCTATATTTGGTTTTCAGCTATGGAATAACTACTTTCACCTGGCTGTTGCTTTCCTCACTCAAGAGTCCTTGCAACTGGAGAATTTTTCAAGTGCTAAGAGAGCCAAAATCCTTAACAAGTAAGTCCTCATCCAGCTGTAAAACTGCAGGAGCCTCCAACTGTATTAGCATAATTTTCATGTCATCTTTAAGCCAACAAGGTACAAATGGAGATGTAATCACAGTGTGATGAAAGGGTGGTTTTAAATCATGTATTGGATATTGCCTTTTCTAGACCATGAATCTAAAATTGCAGGATTCATCCTGGTAGGTTCAACATCAGTTCAATTCAATACAATTAGCACAACACACACTTTAAGTTTCTGAAGATAATGACTTTTCCTGTGCACTATTCTGATGTCATTCCATATGTGGTTTACTTTATTGCTTAATTTTCCAGTTTTGCTTCTTAAAAGGAGGCTTCTGATGAAAGCCCTTGGTAGTGTTGGGACTGTCTTAACAAATCACAGTGGACTTTGAATTATTAGTAATTTCTTTCTTGGCAGCAAACAATCCCTGTCTTCTCCTAGGTAGGAAATTTAAGTGAACTGAAAGGTTCCCTGTGTCAGTGCAAGCAAACCTCACTGAAACTCCATGAAGGCCAAGGTCTTTATCAGGGGCTTTTGGCTCTGTCTGCCCGTCTGCATCCTATACTGCTCCTGCTCCAGTATCAAGGAAAATAGTTGTTTTCAAGTTTCCTGCTAATATCTGGGTGTCCAAAGGCCTAACCTCTTCTCTTTTTGCCTCAGTTTCACAAATTTTCCACTGCTGTGAGTGTTCCTTTCATAAATACTCTTGTTAAAAGTGTTGAACTGGCACTACTATTGCCAGGTCATTGTATTTCTAATTGCAATATCCTAACTGCACCAAGGCTTTGGTGAGTCCCACCGTTCCCTGGGGTTGGGGAGGAAGCCCCAGAAGATGGCAAATTTTCAACCTTCTTTATTTTTTCTAATTGTTTATCTTCCCTGCAGGGCAATAGGAAAGCATACTGTCCTTGGAGAGTGAGATGTATTTTAGAAAGTCATTTACTGGGCTTATTCTACGTACCATGGATCTTCTAAACATTTTGTGTGCATTTTTCATATATATTCACTAAAACACAAAGTTACACATTAATATCTCTCATCATCTGTATTCTCCAAATGAGCATGGTGAACTTCAGGGTGCTCAAGTAACTGGCCAAAGCAGATTCCCAAGTTCAGGCAGCTTAGAGCCCAAGGTTTTAATTTGTGACCCACTTAAGACCTACCAGCATTTGATATACCTGTCTAATTGAATGTCAGCTTTCACCTGGCCAGCCTTCCTTCTCATCCCTCCCCCAAGTTGGGTAACTGCATTCTAAGAGCCAAGATGTAGGCAGTGGACATTGTAGAAGATAGAAATGTACTACCAACCCATATACTGGAGACTGAGCAGGTCCCACCCATGAATGCTGGCCCAGTGTAGAGCTTATACAGGTGTTGTTCACTTACCTCAAATCACAGCATCCAATAAGACTTTTCCAGAATGAACCTTCTGTAGACTATCTCAGCATAGAGCTTTTGCTTCTCCACATTCATGTCCTCAGGATGAAAATGAGGTCTGGCTGCTTATGATCCTCACTGTCCTTGTGTCAGTGCTCTTGTGGAAATTGCTGTCATAGAAACACTAGTCACCAGTACACACTGAGCATCACGCAATGTAGCTCACATAGGGTAGTGAGAGCTACGGACCCTTTTATCTGTCCCTCAGAAGGAAAGCTTAAGTCTCAGCTGGGGATCGCTGCCCACGCAGGCTCTGCTTACTGAGGGTTCACATCAAGATCCCAGTTTGCTGCCGACTCCCAAATCCATTTGTTGCCAAGCACCTGCACTTCCTACTTGTAAAGGTGCACATGGGGAAAAAGAGGTGCATGGTGATCGAAAACCTGCCTAAAAGAACTATCAACACTTTGATGCAGGCACCCTCCAGGCCAGGGTAGGTGGCTCTGCAGTGTTCCCTCCTATTGCTGTGCCAGCAGCCTAAGCCAAATTGGTGTCAGCAGATGTTAACCATGCAGTGCCCCTCTTTGGTTGACAGAGAAAATGTTCACTTCCCATATAGCTGTGTGGATTTGGGGGCTTCAAAGCCAAAAAATACTAAGTAAGCTCCTTGATGTCTGCCTTTCCTTAGCTGGCTAGCCTGGAAAGAGACAGAAGAAATAAATTTCATGATGAAGACATTTACAATTTAGTGGGTAAAGTAGAGAAGTAAAAATAAGGAGTGGAATGGAGTAAAAATGGATGCCTTTGGAAGCTGGGAAAGGGACTTAGAGCATGCAGCCTGGGGAACCACGGATCTTCCAGGGGAAGCTAGCTGAGAGGTCTGCCACTTGAACAGCCAGTCCACAGGGGGACATCACATGCAAAAGGACATAGCTCCATTTATAAGTATGGAGATGCTCTGAGTTTAGAAGCTAAAAGTAGAGTCTAGGGACCTTAGACTTGGGGTTGGAAATATAGGGATTGATACCTTGAATTGGAGCCATTAGAGCCACGTACTAGATTCAGATGTGGAACTCAGTGGAGCACTTTGCACTCACTTAACTTTGTCATTTTGTAGCCTCAGGACTGTCTCCATGTGCCCTGTCAGTTACTGCAGGAGTCATGAATCCAACCATGGTCATCTGAGTGGGCATCTTCCACCCCTTTAAGCCTAGCTTTCTCATTGTTCCTACCAATCAGGCAGCTCCTTACATCTACCTAGTCTGTATAATTGTGGCTTACAACTGTAGAAAATTCTCTTGTCAGAAGACTTGCCTGTTTAGTGCTCTATCCTCCTGATGATGGAGATCAAGGGGCAGGTAGGATGCCCATTCCAGCAAGATACCCCAAAAGTGCCTGGGAGTAACATAAGAATGATCCCTATGATGCAGAGAACTGATGAGGTCAAACCCAAATTCAGTATAAGATTTTCCCGCAAACCACAAAATAAATAACCCCTAGAAATCAAAATCTGTAGTAAGAAAACATAACTACCTCAAACTTCAGACATCTTTGATGCTGAGGACTCCAAAGGAGGGACAGTTGTGCCCATGCTAATTCTGACTATCACGCCTCCCTCCCACCACTCACCAGGCATTTTACTGTACTGGGGCTCAGGAAATATGAAAAAAGTAAAAAAAAAAAAATGACTTCGTTTGTTTTTCAAGGAAGGCGAATTCTGCATTGTTTTTATTTTTGTTTTGTTTTGTTTTTCCAAATGCTTCTTTTTTTCAATGAGAAAGAGAGGAGAAAAAAAGAAGGAAAAAAAATCTCAAACAAAATTTCAAAACATGTAAATGAAGGGGAAACAATGGAACATACATTGCACATTGTGATCCCCAAATCATTCACCCAGAGCGCAAGACTTCTGTGTTCAACTGTGCAACGATACTAGCACAAATTTCTCTGTTCAGTGAACTCAAAAAAATCAGTAGTACCTAGTTTGTTTTTTATACATATACATATATATATATATATACATATACATATGTTGTTTCTTTCAGCTTCTCACACTGAGACAATAGGATGTTTACACATGTTTCTTACTTATTTCACTGATCAGTATAATCTCAAGTTACATCCATTTACCTATAAAAGTCTCCAATTTATCCTTCTTTGTGACTGAGTAGTATTCCATTGTATTAAAATACCACTTCTTTTTTATCCATTCCTCAGTGGATGGGCATTTAGGTTGTTTTCAAGATCTAGCTATTACAAATTGTGCTGTTATAAGCATGTGTGCACATATATCACTGTAGTATGATATTTTTAATTCCTTTGTAAAGGCACTCAGAAAGGGAATAGCTGGATTTAATGGGACCTCTCATTCTAGCTCTTTGAGGAATCTTCAAATTGATTTCCACAGTGGTTGCCCCAGTCTACATTCCTACTAACAGTGGAAAAGGGTTCCTTTTTCCCCACAGCCCCACCAGCATATGTTATTGCTTGATTTCTTGATAATGGCCATTCTTTCTAGGGTGACATGGAATCTCAGTGTTGTTTCAATTTGTATCTCTTGAATGACCAGTGATGTTGAACATTTTTTCACATATTTCTTTGCTGTTCATATTTCTTCATGTGAGCAAGATGTATTCATCTCAAATGCCCATTTTTTGATTGGATCTTTAAATGTGGGAAGATTGATTTTTTTTTTTTTTTAGTTCTTTATATGTTCTTGATAGCAGTCCTTTGTCTGAGAAACAGCTGGAAAACATTTCCTCCCACTTCGTGGGTTGTCTCTTCACTCTGTTGGTTGTTTCTCTTGCTGTGCAAAAGCTTTTTAATAGGATGAGGTTGTCGATTCTTTGTGAAAGTTCTTGTGCAATCAGGGTTTTGTTTATAAAGTTTTTGCCTACACCAGTGTCTTCAAGAGTTTTATGTACTCTATCTTCCTCCATATTCAATGTTTCTGCCTTATTATTAAGATCATTGATCCATTCTGATTTTAGCTTAGTACATGGTGAAAGATATGGGTCCAGTTTTAATCTTTGACATATATAGAGCCAGTTTTTCCAGTACCACTTATTAAAGAGCCTATCTTTCTTCCAGTGAATGTGTTTGGCCCCCTTTATCAAATACAAGGTGGCTTCATGCATCTAGAGTTGTTTCTGCATTTTCTAATTGATTCCATTGATGTTTAGATTATTTTTTTAACAATACCACAGTGTTTTTATCACAATAACTTTATAGTATAATTTCAAGTCAGGAATTATGATGCCCCCTCTTGTATTTGTTGCCCAGGATTATCTTTGCTATTCTAATCTCTTCTTGTTCCAGATAAATTTTAGGATTGTTTTCTCTAATTCTGTGAGATATGCTGTTGGTATTTTCATTGGGACTGCACTGAATCTGTATAACAGTTTTGGAAGTATGGTCATTTTCACTATATTGGTTCTTCCTATCCAAGAGCACAGGATATCTCCATTTTCTAATTTTTTCTTCAGTCTCCTTTTTCAGAGTACTTTTTAGTATAGTGGTCTTTTATACCCTTTATTAGATTCATTACTAGGTATTTCATTTTTTCATGCTGTCATGCTTTGTGTTCAGACGGCCCCAACACCACCAAGCCTTATGCA